AAATTCTACCACAAATATTTAGAGGCGTTAATTCTAAATAATTAGCTTTTAGAGAATCAAATAGTGAGCTAGAAAAAGAAAGACATCAATCAATAAGACTACAGTTGTTTGAAAATTGCCATGATGAGTTCTAATTAGACTACAATAGAGCATAAGATTCAAGACAAAAAACAGCTATGATTGAAGATAATTCAGTCCAGGTCAAGATGATTCAAGAAAGAGAAGAGGAAAAAATTAGGGGAAAGAGTAGCCAAAGAGTTGAAAACTCAACAATTTTCCTAGTCCTTTTTCCTAATGACATCATTGACCAAAGCACTCGCAAGCTTTGACCAATGAGCTTTGACCAATGATGTCATTGGTCCAAACCTTTCTCAAATCATTGAATGTTTAAACTCCCGACTTGTCCATCTTAAATCCCCACCTCGTGGAACTCAAGGTTGATAAATCACAACCTCACTTTATTTTGATCTTGTTCTTATCATCATAACTTGATCTCTCTAGTTCTGCCGCCTGACAAAGCTTGCCATCAAATTTCCTGAATCTTTATCTTCATTGCACATTTCCCTTCCTTTCAAAAACCCGCCAACAAGACCCGTGCTCCCCTCCTTATTGCCTTCCCATTGATACTTAAGAGCTCTCCCTGGTCTTATTGCTATTGTAGGCTCACTGGTTTCTTCTCTCTTCTGGTGTCTAAGAGCTGCACTCGTTAACTCTTCTCTTTAGCTTGTCCTTGTTTTACTTTTTCTTTGTGGCTCTTCTTACTTGTTGTGATCCACACCAGTCCGCTGTTTGCCTTTAGGTTGGTTCATCTTTTTCTTTTTTCTTTGTGTCTTGTATTTCTTCTTTTGTCTTGTTCATCAAATCATTAGAAATACATCTTTAGTTTAACAATTCACAGTTTGGGGAGCCGAATCCCAAAAAATGATGACAATAAAAATAAATAAAACTAAGTAAAACAGAAACTGGGCAGACAACTCCCAGAATCCGCCCTTACTTTAGAAGACAACTCCCAATGGATGTCCGCTGATGGATGTTGGGAGTTTTTGGCAAAAAAACAGGAGTTGTTTTACCAAGCCCCTAAATAAATGTGGACCTATTTCTATACACATACTGGAGGACTTCCCGTCAGATCTGGGACCCTTTCAGAAGTCAATCTAGACCCAAAATCTCTTGATTCTTGCAGAGAAATTTGAATTTTGAGGCTCTAAACCGGTTCTGGGACACACCCGGACAAATTGGAATAAGTTGGTTCGCCCGCGAGGCGCACCAGCACTACAGGCGACCCCATGCCGCAATACAGTAAATTAGTTGCGCAACCGGCGGGTGTGTGATTGCAGCGGCCTGTACACCCTCTGGGGGCGTTGCCAGCCAAGTGTATGCAACAGTTACGTGTTGGGTGCAAGCTGGGGTCGTAATGACCTGGTTTCGCCCCAGGCCATCCTGGTGCAACGCACCCAGGCCATACCAGCACCCAAGACGGACTGCGACATGCAATTGTAACCGCCCGGGGTCACTATGCTGACTCGAGACCGGGCTCGCCATCAGTCCGGCGATAGGCCGCACTGGTCTCTCTATCGGTCAACCTTTTTCCTTTCCCAACACCCACCTGGAAAGATGTCTTTTTAGGTGGGTGTTCGAGAAAATAATCGATCTCTTTTTTTTTTTTTTTGACTTGACTTGTCAAGATTTTTTTCGAAGTCGGATGAATAAGTGGCTGGGGGGCGAGTCAGATACCCATGATCCTGCCTCCCCTCCATCGGTGTTCTATCCTAGTTTGGTGTGGGCTCCCTTGGGTTTCAGCGGTGTGAGATAATGTTGGGTTCGAGCCCGGCATCGACCAGCTTTTTGGCTCTCCCCAACCTGGCTGTGTGACCTGTCGAGCCATAGGGCCGGTGCGCCATCATGACGCCCGGCCTTTGATGGCGGCGGTCCTCCGACTCCGTGGGCGATAACTGAGACGCACCCATACAGGGTGAGACGACCAAATCGCGGCCCAGCAACACGAAACTATGAAGGGTTCCGTTTGGACGCCCGGATCGCGCAAGGCGCTTGCAAGGTCACGAGGGCGCCTCGTTACACTACAAGCAATACCAATTTTGCCCCAGGAAAAAATGGCAATTTGGTTGGTGGAAAATAGGTCACTTTCCTGAGCATTTTTTTTACAAAATGACTCAGGAGTAAAAATTAAGCTAAAATGAGCGATTTTAGCCAAAAAATAAAAATCATCAAATGAGCTAAAAATTAATTTTGGAAAGTTTGAGGCATTTTTATTTTTGGGCTAAAATAGCTCATTTTAGTTTGATTTTTACTCCTGAGTCATTTTGTAAAAAAAGCCTCAGGAAATTGAACAATTTTCCACCACTCAAGTTGCCATTTTTTCCTGGGGCGAAACTGGTATTGTTTGTAGTGTTAGCTGCACCCGAGGCGGCGGACCCGATCCGGTGTGGAGACCTGCAGATTTTGACGGGAAGTCGTCCACTGATGAACATAAAATCCAACCTTATTTTCATGTTTTTAGACTGGACTGGCTATCCGGTCTGCATTAGGGTGGATATTCTCACAAACAGGTTTTCTACATTTAAATTCATTCCAAGGGAACATGGTTTTTGTTATGATGAATGTCCAAGAACATGTAGAAACATTAGCAGATTCCAAGGGTGCCAGAGGAAACAGATGAATCAGAGAGGTTGAGGGAGATAAATGGGATTAAAGGGAATGTCATCCAAATGGCTGGCCAGCCTCAAGCCAAATGCAGGACATTGGTCTCAAGTTCCTCCCTTGCGGGAGGGTGCTTGCGCCCCCAGAGCACAGAGGGACTTGTGTTAAGTTTGGCTGTGAATGTGATGGCACAGGGGGTGTGCTTCTGGGTATAAAAATCAGGGCTATTTGGGGCTTCACATATTCGGGACATGTGTCATTGACTCATTGCCCGAGTATGTTAGGTCAAGTTACTTACAAACAGGCTACACAGAAAGAAAAGAAAGTCGTGACTCTAGACTTGCATTAATATTGTACTTGTTGTATTTATCTCTTTGAAACATCAAGCATGAAGGATAACGTTTTCCGGAGCAAATCCGCTGCCGTGAAAACCGCCTTTTTTGACTGGGGTGATGTTGTGGGATCTGTTTTTTTCCGGGGCCGGTCTTTTCAAAGACCTGGATGTATACATTTGGGAAATCGCCATTGGTGAAAGGCATCCGCGGCTAGCAACCAATCCTGGTATGTAGATACCCAGAAGCCTGTTTTGATTTCGGGAAGAAACCCCCATGAGAAACGCATGTTTCTTCTTATCGAGCACCAGTGACCAATGGAGAAAGACTACATGGTTATTGGTTATCACTTTAAAATGCATGGCTGAACCGGACAAAATGGAAATTGCCCCGTTGCTGGGATGGATTCCTGCTGTCAAGACTCAAGCAAGACACATGAGACACTCCCATTAAACCCTACCTCTCGGAGACTTGGAGGATGCGGACGAACGATGTCCGAGCACAAGGTTGAGCCAGCAGTACGATGTAAGCCGATTGCTCCAACCGGTCAAACGGACAGGGTTATATTGTAAAAGGGACACTTGACCAACACCCGCCTGGACCCGTATGTCCGACGGTGCTCCCGAACCCCCTTATACAAATTCCCGCACTTGCGTACCAGCGATTATAGTTTTGCGTCTTCCTGGCACAGCCGGGACCTGGGCTTGTTGCATTGCCCGGCCAGTTGCCATGCTCTGTATCTCTACAGGTCAGGTACACTGTGTCCACGTGCTCCATATCTTTCAGTTCATCTGCACGACCATCCAAGCGGACGGGAATGATCGCCATTCGGCATGATCTGGGTATTTTCCAGCCTGTCCATACGAGGCTTTGAAGCACAGCAGAAGGGAGGCGGACTGGTTCTACGTATCGATATACTAGGCCTATCTATGGATTTATGTTGTCTACGAATTTACAG